ATGTCACCCCGCCAGCCCGGCCACGCGCCAGTGACTGCATTTACAGGCACCGAGATTCGAGTTTGCTGTTACTCTGATGCATCACCAAGTAGACTGCTTTTGAGTTCGATGTGTGTGTGTGTATTCGAACCACTGAGAAAGGGCAGCCAGTTTCAGCTGGTTCCCGACGGGAGATGGCCTGTGGCCCAGACCCCTCGCCAAGCCGTGCCCGGTTCATCACCACAGCCTCTCCCTGTCTCCGTGTCTGCACAAGCCCAGGTCGCCCAGCCCGGCCCAGCCCCTCAGTTGCCAAGCGGGCTTTCACGGGAAGGGCTCCGGGAGCCTGCAGCTGCACTGACCTGCTTCTGCTGGCCTTGGCTGGGCTCCTCTCCTTCCTGCTCCTTGATGGGCTCGTGTGGCCCTGAGGCTGGGCCTCTGGCCTCCTTCCCAGCTCCACCTAGAGATGGAGAGAGACAGATAGAGCGAGGACGCCCCTGGCTGGGGGGCACAGGGGGCAGCAGGCACAGCTGCTTAGGGCGGGAGGGCCGGGCTCATACTGCTGTGTGTCTCTGGGCCTTGGCCTGTCTGTGAGGGGGCTGCTGGGTGGGCTGGGAGGGAGGGGGCAGTTGGGGGGGTGGAGGGTCTTTTCCCAGAGAGGGGAAGGATCCGGCTGACACCCTGCCCCCACCCCGCCCCTAGCAGACCCAGTATGTGTTTGGGGGAGTGTGTTAGAAGTTTCTGACCAGCCACTGCTCCCCACCCATCCATGTCCAGGTTCCTCTGTGTGCAGTCGGCCATGGGACGGATGGAGGGCTGGCTCGTGGGGTCCTCAGCCCCCCACCACAAGCCTCAGAACCCTGTGTGGACAGAATGTACACCGTGTCCTCCGCTGCTCCAGGCTGTCCCAGTGCCCAGCACGCTGGCTCGGCCCAGGCTCAGCCTCTCCTGGCTCCTTGCCTGACCCTTGGTCTCCCAGCCCCGGCGGGTCCAGGTCCTTGGCTGCCTGGCCCAGGAAGGGGCTAGGGGAGGCCTGGCCAGCAGGCCCAGGCAAGCGTGTGTGCACAGTGCGTGCTTAGGGGGCGAGTGGTGCCGCTGGGTTGAAGAGGCTGGCACAGCGGCCCCTGGCGGCCTACTTGTGTCCGGCGAGGTGTGCCCTGCAGGGCCTGGACCTGTTGCCTTGTGCCTGGGTTCCTCCCTTGGTGTCCTGGGACCCCACCCTGGGTGCCTGGGGCCCTCGGCGTCTCCTGGGGGGTGCCCTGGGCTGCAGGCCGTCTGTGGGACCTCAGACACTGCCTTCGTAGTGGAAGTGGCCTGTTCAGGAGCCCGGGCATGGGAGGGTGGCTGGCATCTCCTGGCCCCATCTGCCCCTTTCCCATTGCTCCTGCCCCTTCCTGGGCGCTGCCCTGGCAGAAGGAGGTCAGCAGGCGACAGGGCAAGGCTGCATGCCCGGCAAGGAGGCGTTTGGCTGAGCAGGTGCGGCCTGTGCTGGCTGCCTGGCAGCTGAGCCCGAGGGCTCCTCGGCCGCCCTGGCATCCGCCGTGTGACTTGGCATTTCTGGCAAGTGCTCGGAGTCCTGGTGAAGGCATCCGGTCTGCATTTGGAGCCCCGGCGGGGCCGGTCCCGGGTCGGCCTGGGCCTGGGGGACTGTTGTCAGGGGCTCCCTGCTGGCACTGCCTCCTGGACACACCTCCCGTGGGGGCAAGCTTGGTAACTCCACGTGCCCTGCTCCACCAGCGCAGCGTGGGCTCCGTCCTGCCCCTTTAGCCCTAACCCTGCGGCCTGGGTGTGGTGGGCATGGTGGGCCTTGACCTGCTGAGCGGGAGGTGAAGAGTGGATCTGAACCCAGGCTTGCTTCCAGACCGAGGTCCGGCCCTAGTTGCAGGCGGGGCGGCTGGAGCGTGCCCCAGGCTTCCCGACCCCCTCGCCTTCACCCCTGGCTGGGAGCAGTGGCTGGCCCTGCTGCCTTGCCCCTTCATGGTCTGCCCAGGAGCCAGGCACGCTTGCCCTCCCCATCAGCCTGTTCTCTGCCCACAAGCTCTCCGTGGCTCCTGTCATTCACCCACAGGACCCACCCTGACACCCTCCGGTCTGTGTCCTGGCCGTACTGGCCTCGCATGCCTTGCTCCCCAGGCCTTATGCCGACTGCCGGGAGCGCCCTCTTCTCCCCGCCCCGCTCCAGCGGCCGGGGCTGGCTTGGTTTCCTTCACTTGGAGTGAAGCCGGAGGCGGGGGAGGAGGGCGAAGCAGGGCAGTGGTAGAGCCAGGGTCAGCGCACCCCTCAGGACCCGGTGGGCCCCTCCTGCCTCCTTGGGGACCTTGCCTGGGCCACACGCCGGTGCTTCTGCTGCGCACCGCCAGGGGGCACTCCTCCCCGTGGCCCTCAGACGCTCAGTGTCCTTGCTGGGCCCCACCAGGGCCAGGGCAGGACTGCGGGAGGGGCCGGGACCGGCACGCTGTGTCCAATGGTCCTCCTGAACGTGGTTTTTAGAGACAGCGGGTGGAAACAAAGCCTCTTCTTGCCAGGGAGGGCGGGAGTGGAGGTGCAGAGGGAGGTTGGGGGTGTGGGTGTCCTGCCTTCAGAGTTTGGGGCAGGAGAGTGGTAGGCGGCATGGAGCCCGTGGTGCCGCCTCTAGGGACCCAGGCTGGTCAGCTGTACTTGAGGAGGCTGCAGGGCGTGGTGGCTGGAGTGCCTGCCCCCCAGCCCGGCACAGCCCTGCTGTTCTAGTGGAGGGAGCTGCAGCAGGAAGGTGGGGTTCCAGGCATTCACCCCTCTCCCCCGAGACTTCCCCAGGAGTTGGTAAGACAGGACCCCCCTCCCACTCCCCTCAGTGGGGAGACATGGCCAGGGGCTTGGGTCCCCAGCCTCTCCTGACCCTGGGCTCCCTCAGGTAGCTGTTGGCCAGGCTGTCGGAGCCATGCCAGGCTCCTGCCCTCATCCTTGTCCTGTGTCCGTACATGGGGCCACACCCCTTGCCACCAGTGGTCCCTCTCCGCCTGCTGAGTCCTGCCTTCTCCCAGCCATGGCCCCCGGGGCTTCTTTTCAGCAGCTGTGTGGGCACACCCCTGCCCCCTGCTGGGCCTCAGGCCTGTGTGTCGGTGTGCAGGCCAGTGGGCAGGGTGGGCATAGTGCAAGGGGGATCCTGTGAGGTCTCCCACTGTAGGCCCTGGCATGGCTCACGGGGCCCCACGCCTGCCCTTCCCTTCCCTACCCCCGTGTCCCCCGTGTCCCCCCAACGGGCAGGTGACCCTGTGTGTCTGCCTGCTTCCACCATGCAGTACTTGCGAGCCCAGGGAGTCACAGAGCTGGGATCCCCCAAGCCCCCTTCCCAGGGCTGCACCACTCTCCCCGGGAGAGGAGAGCTGCTGGACTGGAAACGGGGAGGCAGAGGCTGCCCCTCCCTCTGAGCATGGCATGGCTGCCCTCCCACCCCTCTGGCACCCTCGGGCGCTTACCTCCAGGGGTCCCTGGTAGCCCCCTCGGCTGACCGCAGGTGCCACTGCCACCCCTCTTCCTCCCTGGGTCCTGGTTCTGTGCCAGCCTGGGGGAGACGGTAAGGTTTCAACCTGCCCCAGGGCAGCTGGCTGGCCGGTCCAGCTGGGCAGGCGGGCAGTGTGAGGGGCTGGTTGTATTTTAAGCGACTGAGTGGTTCAGCAGGAACTCGGAGCCTCCTCTCCCCGCCGACGAGTCCTGCCTCCTCTGGGTCACCCTCAGGATCCAATGCATGTGGGCACTGCTCGCCCCCCCGGGACCCAGCAACTATTAATACACCTGTACCCGCCAGGCCTGCTGGTCCTGCCCTCCCTGATGCCCCTGCCCTGTCCCCAACCCACCCTCCGCCTGCCAGCTCCACCCGTTACCCTCCAGGGCAGAGGTGCTGTGCAGGCCGTGGAGCTGGGCCCCCTCCTGCCCTGTCACCCCATGTAGGCATGCGCTGGGGTACAGGGGGTGGGGTGGCATGCACCACAGCTACTGGCCCGTGGGTGGACTTGGGGTGAGGCCCCAGCAGGCCCGCCGTGAGCTGCAGCCCTACCCACCACTCAGGGACTTTATCTGGTGGTCGCTGCTGTCCTGGGGGCTCCCTCCCTCGGGCTCAGCATCCGGGGAGAGCAGGTCCTGGGTGAGGGCGTGGCGCTGGACACTGGCCCTGGCTTGAAGGTGGCCTTGAATGAGGCCCTGGTGAGCAGTGTGGGGGTGGCCCAGGGCACTTGCTCCTCTGTTAGTGACCCCCAGGAATCTGTCACCTCCCTGGGAACACAGACAGCCCCGGGGGAGTAATCCCCCCTGGCCCTCGCAGCTCGGAAGGGGAAACGGATGAGCCTTGCCTCGTCAGGGACTCTCAAATAGCTGGGACCTCTCCAGGCCCAGTGGGTGCTCCGGCCTGGCACAAGGCTAGGCTGGCCTTCCCACCCCCACCACCGTGCTGGGAGACCCCTGCTGGGCCTACCTGACCCCTTCTGGCCCAGGGGTCTCCCTGTGCACTCCAGAGGTGGGGGGCCCTGCAGGAGGGGGCCCTTGCAGGAGGGGGGCCCTTGTGGGAGGGGGGCCCTGCAGGAGGGGGGCCCTGTAGGAGGTGGGGGCCCTGCAGGAGGGAGGCCCTGTAGGAGGTGGGGGGCCCTGCAGGAGGGGGCCCTTGCAGGAGGGGGGCCCAGACTTGGGGTGGTTTATATTTAGCTGAGCCACACTCGCGGGTGCTCCTTGGGTTACACTTGGCAGCGAGTCTGGCGGTGGCGGTAGCGGTGGCTGCACAGGCGCCGGCTCCCGTCCAGCACCGCGCCAGGCAGAATTTGATCTGGCCCGGCTGGGCGGCCCAGAGCTGCCGTGCGCGGGGAGGTCGGTGGTGAGGGCTGCAGGCCGGCAGAGCAGGGTGGCAGGACCCCTGGGCGGGCGCCATGGAGCTGAGCCTGAGCCTGGTGGCCCGCGAGGCCGGCCCCCCGGGCCCGAGCCCCAGCCTCAATGGCTTCCCCAGACCTGCACCCCCCAAGACGGCCAAGAAGCCTAAAAAGGCCGTTCTCTTCTTCGAGGTGGAGATCTTGGACGCCAAGACCAGGGAGAAGCTGTGCTTCCTGGACAAGGTAGGCTGGGAGTGGGGAACAGGGTGCTGCAGCCTGTCCTCTGGGGGCACCCCAGGATCACGTCACCCCTCTTGGGCCAGAGACACCTGACACTGCCCACCATGGCCCGCCCTCTGGGGGGCGCCCCGGGAGCACTGTCCCCCTCCTGGGGTAGAGGCACCTGCCACTGCCCACCATGGCCTGCCCTCTGGGGGGTGCATGCCACAGCCTGCCACTGCCCACCATGGCCCGCCCTCTGGGGGGGGCGGCCCGGGAGCACTGCCGCAGCCTCCCTAGGAGAGGGGCTGGGCCTGCTGAGTGCTGTCGCTGTCCGGAGCAGCTCCTGGGCTGTAGGGAGGAGCACCAGAGGCCCGCCCAGCCTCCTGGGCCCGCAGCTGCACCTGCTGTTGTGGCAGGGCCCCTGCTGTCCAGGGTTGTCCCTCAACCCTGCATGCTCTCCGCGGCAGCGGTCTGGGCCCCCCAGCTCCTGGCTGCGCCCCCTCCGCCCCATGCCGACTCGGCCGCTGTGCCCCTCCAGGTGGAACCCCAGGCCACTATCGCGGAGATCAAGAACCTGTTCACCAAGACCCGTGAGTCAGGGCCGGGCTGCCCTGGGCTGGGGGGAGGGCAGCATGCGGGATGGCCGGGGGGGACACCAGGCCCCGTGCCCTGCGCCCGAGCCCACGCCGCGCCTCCTCCCGTAGACCCGCAGTGGTACCCCGCCCGGCAGTCGCTGCGCCTGGATCCCAGTGAGTAGCTGTTGTGGGGCTGGCTCTGGGGGTGTGAGGGTGCGGGGCTGCGGGGGCTGGCCTCGGTGTCCGCCCTGAGCCCGGGGGGCTGGCCTCGGTGCCCACCCTGAGTCCCGGGGGCTGGCCTCGGTGTCCGCCCTGAGCCCGGGGGGGCTGGCCTCGGTGCCTGCCTTGAGTCTGAGGGCTGGCCTTGGTGCCCGCCCTGAGCCCGGGGGGCTGGCCTGGTGCCCGTCCTGAGCCCCCGGCTGCCTCCCCGCAGAGGGCAAGTCCCTGAAGGATGAGGATGTCCTGCAGAAGCTGCCCGTGGGCACCACGGCCACGCTCTACTTTCGGGACCTGGGGGCGCAGATCAGCTGGGTGACGGTGAGCGCCCCGCGGCCCTGCCCTCCTCTCCCCGGCTGTGTGGCTAGGGGTGCTCACCGCCGCTGCCCGCCGCTGCCCGCAGGTCTTCCTCACCGAGTATGCGGGACCCCTTTTCATCTACCTGCTCTTCTACTTCCGGGTCCCCTTCATTTACGGCCACAAATACGACTTCACGTCCAGCCGGCACACAGTGGTGCAGTGAGTCCCGGGGAGTTGGGCCGAGTGGGGCGTAGGGTTAGGGCAGGGGGAGCTGGGCCGAGTGGGGCGTAGGGTTAGGGCAGGGGGAGTTGAGCCAAGAGGGGCGTAGGGTTAGGGCAGGGGGAGTTGGGCCAAGTGGGCGTAGGGTTAGGGCAGGGGGAGCTGGGCCGAGTGGGGCGTAGGGTTAGGGCAGGGGGAGTTGAGCCAAGAGGGGCGTAGGGTTAGGGCAGGGGGAGCTGGGCCGAGTGGGGCGTAGGGTTAGGGCAGGGGGAGTTGGGCCGAGTGGGGCGTAGGGTTAGGGCAGGGGTGCGTGGAGCCCCGCAGCTGAGCCCGCTCTCCCTCCAGCCTCGCCTGCATCTGCCATTCCTTCCACTACGTCAAGCGCCTGCTGGAGACGCTCTTCGTGCACCGCTTCTCGCACGGCACCATGCCCTTGCGCAACATCTTCAAGGTGGGCACCCCTGCCCGAGCCCCGCCCCTGCCCGCGGTCCCGCCCCTGCCCGGGCCCCGCCCCCACCGCCCCCGCCCTCACAAAGGCTCCACCCCCATCCTATGGGCCCCGCCCCCAGCCCCATGCACCTGCCTTTCAGAACTGCACCTACTACTGGGGCTTCGCCGCCTGGATGGCCTACTACATCAACCACCCGCTGTACACGCCGCCCAGTGAGTGCCCGCCGTGCCCGCCCTGCCCCCCTCCCCTGGCACGCTCCCCTCACCCCTCCCTGCTTCCCCTTCAGCCTACGGAGCCCAGCAGGTCAAGCTGGCGCTGGCCATCTTCGTGGTGAGCACGCTGGGCGCGGGTGTGGGTGGTGGACGCGGGTGTGGGTGGTGGGCGCCGCCCGGGCCGACCCTGCTCCTCTGCACAGATCTGCCAGCTCGGCAACTTCTCCATCCACATGGCGCTGCGGGACCTGCGGCCGGCCGGTGAGGGGCCTGGGGGGCCGGGGCGGTGGGGCCGGGGCGCCCGGGGTCTGGGGTCCGAGCCACCCTCTGCTCCGACCATCAGGGTCCAAGACCAGGAAGATCCCGTACCCCACCAAGAACCCCTTCACCTGGCTCTTCCTGCTGGTGTCCTGTCCCAACTACACCTACGAGGTGAGGGGCTGGGGGTGGGCGGACGGGCGAGGGGGCTGCTTCCCGAGGTGGGGGGCTGCGGTGGGCGGACAAGGGAGGGGCTGTCGGAGCCCTGGGTCCCCCATCTGCCCTCACCCACCCCTGCCCGCCACAGGTGGGGTCCTGGATCGGCTTCGCCATCATGACCCAGTGTCTCCCAGGTGAGCCGGCCCGCCCGTGCGCCCCTGACCCTCCGCGGGGCTCCCCTGCGCTGGCACCGCCCCCCTGACGCCCCTCTGCCCACAGTGGCCCTCTTCTCGCTGGTGGGCTTCACCCAGATGACCATCTGGGCCAAGGGCAAGCACCGCAGCTACCTGAAGGAGTTCCGCGACTACCCGCCGCTGCGCATGCCCATCGTCCCGTTCCTGCTCTGAGTCCCCGCCCGGGCGCCCGCAATAAACTCGCTCACCCCCGCCGGGCTCCGTGTGTTTCTTGGGCCCGGACCACCCGCCGCCCTCCCCGCGCAGAAGGAGGCTCTCGGGCCGAGGGGCTGCAGGCTTTTATTTCTGCGACCGGCCAGGGGGCAGCTACAGGGCCACCTCGGGGCCCAGCTCCCCGGAGCCCTGGCCGCCGGCCACCGCCGCCTCCCGCTGCTCCCGCCGCTTCTTCCGCTGGAGCAGCCGCCGCTCGCGCTCGAACTCCTTCATGCGCTTCACGTAGCTGCGGGTGGAGACGGGTCGGGGTCAGGGGCCACGGGCCAAGGGCTGGGGAGAGCCGGGGCGGAGGTTCAGGGTGTCCGGGCCACTGCTGTCCCCTGCCCGCCCATGGAGGTGCCCACGGCTCTCCCCGTCCCATGTCCTGCCCGCCCATGTAGGTGCCCACAGCTCTCCCCGTCCCCCGGGGCGCTGCCTGCCCATGGAGGTGCCCACAGCTCTCCTCCATCCCGGGGCGCTGCCCGCCCATGGAGGTGCCCACGACTCTCCCCCACCCCGGGGGCGCTGCCTGCCCATGGAGGTGCCCACAGCTCTCCTCCATCCCGGGGCGCTGCCCGCCCATGGAGGTGCCCACAGCTCTCCCCGTCCCGTGTCCTGCCCGCCCATGGAGGTGCCCACAGCTCTCCCCCGTCCTGTGTCCTGCCCGCCCATGGAGGTGCCCACAGCTCTCCTCCATCCCAGGGCGCTGCCCGCCCATGGAGGTGCCCACGACTCTCCCCCACCCCGGGGGCGCTGCCTGCCCATGGAGGTGCCCACAGCTCTCCCCGTCCCGTGTCCTGCCCGCCCATGGAGGTGCCCACAGCTCTTCCCCCGTCCTGTGTCCTGCCCGCCCATGGAGGTGCCCACAGCTCTCCTTCATCCCGGGGCGCTGCCCGCCCATGGAGTTGCCCACAGCTCTCCCCCGTCCTGTGTCCTGCCCGCCCATGGTGGTGCCCACGGCTCTCCCCCGTCCCCCTGATGGAGGTGCCCACGGCTCTCCCCCCGCCCCGGGGCGCTGCGCGCTCACTCGAGGTGCTCGCAGTAGTCCCAGTCGTGCTGCTCGTGCTTGCAGGCCAGGAAGTTGGGGAAGGAGTCCCGCTTGCACTTGAGCAGCCGGATGAGGTAGTGCGCGCAGTAGTCTCGCTGCTCCAGCGTCAGCTGCGCGTCGCTCATCTGCTGCTGCGTGGCCACCATCTCTGCGGGGAGCGGCGTGCGGGGCTCAGCCACGGGCCATGCCCTGCACAGGGCCCCGTCTCCAGCAACCCCCAGCTCTGACCCCCAGCTCTGACAGTGTCCAGGCACGGCTTCCCGCCCCTTTCCCAGCTGCGCCCCGACCTGCGGAGTGCTGGAAGACAGCCTGGCAAAACCCGGACTGTCAGAAGGGCGCAGGCTGGTGTTGGCTGCACGCCCCAGCCGTACCCGCGTGCGGGGGCACTCCCGCCACAGCTCAACTCTGGCTCTTTCCCATCCAATATCAGGCCTGACCCCCCAGTTCCTCTCAGCGCCCCATTCCTTTGCGGCTCGACCCACACCCATGGACCCCTCCCCAGCAGCAGCCTGTGCCGGCACGGCACCGGGCAGGGTGGGCGAGGCGGGAGCTGCGGGGGCCCAGCGGCCAGGGGGCCTTTGAGTGGAGGTCAGGGCCAGGCCGGGCAGCGGTTCCAGCTTTGGGGGTGGTACCCTGAGGAAGCAGTGGAGTGACAGCCAGCAGAGCAGCCCCCACTGTGGTGGGAGACAGGGGTGTCATGGAAGCAGCAGGCTCCCGTGCCCAGGCTGGGGTCGGGGGTGGGCCTGACCTGCCCTCCGGGCTGGTGATGCCCCAGCAGGCATCACCCCTCGCCCTGCACCCCTCGCCCCCACCGGGGTACCCACACATCTGCACGGGGAGCGAGGGTAACGCATGTGCCAAGGCTGCAGGGCACTGTGGGGTGCAGGGCACTGTGGGGTGCAGGGCGAGGGGTGCGCACGGGGAGCAGCCGAGCAGGAGCGAGCGAGCGAGGGGTGCACGCACAAGCTGGGGGTCCTAGCAGCCCTGATACCAGCTTCGCCCCCCCAGCCAAGCGCTCCCTGCCCATGCAACCCGGCCTGACCCCTGCGCAGCGCCCGGACTGCACCCCGACAGGACGTTTGCTAAGCTGCCTGCGGACCCCTCCGTGCTCAGCGCCCCCACACGCCCCGTGGGCCCCCCAATCCTCCCCACTCCCCTCGCTGTTCCCACCGCCCACAGGCGAGGCCACTCCGCATTCCTGCAGGACGGGGCGCCCTCTGCACCCCCAGGCCGCGGTGGTCACCTCCCGCCCGGTCCCAGAGCGCAGGTTTGGGGGTTCGGGTGCCGGCCTGTCCCCTCCCGCCCGGCCCCGGGTTTGGGGGTTCGGGTGCCGGCCTGACCCTCCCGCCCGGCCCCGGGTTTGGGGGTTCGGGTGCCGGCCTGACCCTCCCGCCCGGCCCAGAGCGCAGGTTTGGGGGTTCGGGTGTCGGCCTGTCCCCTCCCGCCCGGCCCCGGGTTTGGGGGTTCGGGTGCCGGCACTGGGGCTCACCGCGCTCCTTGCGCTCGGGGAAGCCGTAGTCCGGCGGGAAGGTGGGCATCCGCAGGGGGTCGGGCTCCGCGCAGGGGTCGCCCGCATAGCGCCGAGCCAGGTGAGCGCCCATGGCCGCTGTCCCCGCAGGTGCCCGCGGCAGCCGGGTCACCCAGCAGCTGCTGCTCGGAAGTCCCGCCCTTCGCCTGCAGCCACTTCCGGCCCTGGGGAGAGCATAGAGACGAGCCTCGGCGCTGCCTGTGCGTGTGGCGCTGCCTGTGCGTGCGTCTCCATCTGGCGGGCAGGCGGAGGAATGACAAGCGCGGCGGCTCTGCAGGCCAATCCTCCATCTTGCACGCCAGCATCCCCTGTGGACGCCGGTTCGAGTCCTGGATGCTCAATCCTTAAAAAAAATTTTTTTTTTTTTTTTTATTTGGAAGGCAGATTTTCAGAGAGAGAGGAAAAGACCTTCCATTTACTGGACTACTTCCCAAATGATCACAACAGCTGGAGCTGAGCCAATTTGAAGCCAGGAGCTTCTTCCTAGTCTCCTACGTGGGTGTAGGGATCCCCAGGCACAAGCAGGAGCTGGGTGGAGACTGGAGCAGGCAGGATAGTAACTGGCGCCCATAGGGGATCCTAGCACTTGCTAGGGAGAGGATATAGCCATTGAGCTGGACCTGCTCTCTGCTTCGGTACCCACGCTTGCTAGTTGATGGGCCCTGATTGGGTTATTGAAGGATGTGTAACCCCCACCATCGCACTGGCAGATCCCTGCCTGCTGTGTGTCCACGGGAGCTTGGAAACCTTGAATTTGGGGGCCTGGAATGTTAGCTCTGTGGCTAAATTAACATCTTGTATCCACCGGGATCCCATTAGGCACCTGTTTGTGTCCTGGCTGCTCCACTTCCCGTCCAGCTCCCTGCCTGTGGCCTGGGAAAGCAGTGGAGGACGGCCCACAGCCTGGGGACCCTGCACCCGCGTGGGAGACCCGGAAGAAGTTCCTGTCTGCTGGCTTCAGATCGCCTCAGCTCCGGCCGTTGAGGTCACTTGGGGAGTGAACCAGCAGATGGAAGATCTTCCTCTCTGTCTCTCCTCCTCTTTGTATATCTGACTTTGCAATAAAAATAAACAAATCTCTTTTTTTTTTAAAACATCAAGTCTTTTTTAAAAAAAGATTTATTTATTTTCATTTTTATTGCAGTCAGGGAGCTGGATGGGAAGTGGAGCAGCAGGGCCAGTCTCACTGTGCCTTCCCATCTCCACCGCATGAGCGACAGGTGTGTGCCGTGTCAGGGTCTGCACAGCCGCCGGGGGTGGTGGTGAGGGTCTTGCTTCCTTTCCAGACGACTCTCCATTTCCCCATTTCTAGCATGGGCACCGTTGCACCTGCCCCTCGAAGCAGCTTGGGGAACTTTGGTGGCAGTACAGGGGGAAGTCCGCGCCCACCTCCCCCTCCGTGAGGGGCGGGGTTGCGCCCGGCTGCCCTCCACGGGTCTCCCCCTCTCCACCTGCTGAGGAAGACTTTCCACCTGTGAAGGCTCCGTGTGATCCAAACCGCCACGTGAGAGAGAAGTTCTTGCTCAGCCTCTTATTAAAGACAAAAAACAGCCCAAACTCCTATATGTTTATTTGAAGAGATGGAGGATCTTCCCTCTGGCAGTTCCCTTCTCAAATGCATGCAAGGCCAGGGCTGGGCCGGGCAGAGGGCGGGAGCTGCGTCCAGGTCTCCCGCAGGGGTGCAGGGGCCCTGCGTCCTTGGAGCTCCCTCTGCTGTTTTCCCAGGCACATTAGCAGGGAGCTGGACTAGGAGGCAGGCTAGCCGTGCCGGGAACCTGAGCCTGTATGTGCACGTGGCAGGTGGTTTAAGGGCTCCATGCTTTTTAGAGTCACCTAAACAAGGCGCAGGGACCCCCCAACCCTTCCATTTCCTTCTGTTGTGGCCAAGGTGAGCTGGATGAGGGGAGCAGCTGGTCTACCTTCTGCTTTGCGTTTTTTTTTTTTTTTTTTTTTTTTGCAGTTGCAATGCAGGGGCCGCCTCTCGAGGGAGGCGAGGGAAGAGCTTCGGTGGGTGGGTGGGTGGGTCTGCCCACACTCGATTTGCATGTGGCTGAGTTTTCGTCAAGGCTAAAAAGGAACCGAGACAGGCTTCAGGCTCAGAGTAGCCTCTCCTCCTCAGAGCCCTGTGAGCACTTAGCCATGCTCAGCCTGTACACCAACTCCAGCCGTGCGGGCCCTGCAGGTGAGGAGGGGTCTGCCCTGGCTGGCTGGCGTCGGGAGGCAGGTGTGACCAGACCTCAGGCTGCTGCCAAAGGGTCCGAGAGGTGGATGTGGAGATGAGCAGGGCTCTGACGTGCTTTCTCCTCTGGAAGGGACCCGGGAGGAGGAAGAGGATGACGACTATGAAAACTCAGCCCCGCCCTACAAGGACCTGCCCCCCAAGCCCAGTAAGTGCATTCCTGAGGCTGGGAACGCGGGCGTGTCAGCCG